CATGTCATGAAATTACACTTATATCTTTGTAGATATTATTGACACTGTGAACATTATGGGATATCAACCATCTCAAGCGCTGTCTGGCCAAAAACTACAGTGAATCAGGTTTGACTAAAAGTGGGCTACAAATAGCCGGTCTGACTACGAGCTAAATCATGGCTACGCTCGGGCTACGTATTGAACATGTCAAAGAAATGAAATAAACACCCTGTAAACGCTGTTTACTTTGCTTACATTATGGAATATCATACATCTCACAAGTTATTTTGCCAAAAAACGACATGAAACCAAATTCAAGGTTATTTGGGCTAGAAGTGGGTTACACATAGCCGGACTATATCGGGTCTATACTTAACCGAGACGTTGAAATGACGGCTATTGCTTGCTGGGTTACCCCAGACAGTTCTTACTTCTCTACAGTTTGCCGCTGGCTTTGATGTCCCTATGGTGGTTAAACATGAGATATAATTCATTTTGGGTATCTAATGGTCTCATTAATCTGTTCCACAGAAAATATTTTTGTCTGAGAGCAAAGTTAAGGTTTATTAGCCTATATAAATACTTTTGGTCAAAAGCAGTGAGCAGTTTTCTTTTAGTCTTTTTTGGTTGGATTAACATTAAAGTCGGCATGAAACGGAAGTTGCGATTGTCTTTTCTTCTCTAATGTGACGTATATCCGAGTGAAACGGCATCTGAAATGAGAGGGCGGGACTTGATTTCGTCCTTCGGGAATTGATTGGATCTTTGGAAGTTGGGGCGTTGCTAACAAAATGGAGGCAGATCAGAATGCCAGTTTGCAGTTAGTTGTGAGGGATTTCTCTCCACTGGATTCACAGCCGACACCCAAGCATGAATAAATGTTAACGTTTTTGATAAAAAATTACGAGGGCACATGAATTAAAAAAAAATAATGAAGTGCACGGATAAATTAGTTATAATAAACACTACAGTATTCCATTAAAAAATTAGATTTTTCAATTTTTATTTCATGGTTACTTTAAAGACAAACAGTAGCTGTTAAATTAGTCTGTAGTCACTTTAAGACATAATGCACAAATCCAATATAATGATACACATCTAAATTATTTTCTCAGTTGTTCATATTCACTTGAGACATAACCGACTGTTTTCGAGGATACTTGCCAAAACGAGTATTTTTACATAATTTTGTATTTATTTGTCCTACAGGTGTATCGCACTCCTCGTGTGATATTGCTCATATATACAAAAATTGCTCTTTTTTTCCCCTCTAAAATATGTCACGTTATTACTTGTACTTTCCTCATATAGCGCTTAATTGCTGAATATTAGCATTATGTAAGCAGTGTTGAAAAGGGTAAATATTAAATACACCGTCAACAGGTCTTTAAACCTAATTTGATGGCGTCACATACATAGATATCTGTCACATATGCAAAAGTGTAAAAATAATGTCCATTTGAGCCCACAGAAGGAAATAAGCATCTGCTGTGGAAGAACACTGACTATTTATTTTCAAAAAAATGCTGATTCGTTTCAGAATCAGTAGTTATAAGCAGCCTTCACACCAGTGTTGTACCAGCAACAATGTCCAGAAGAGGGCGACAACATGACACTAATTTAAAGGCAAACCCTTCTCATCCCTTTCCAAACGACTGCATGAATACGGCAAGGATAATTCTGCGAATATAAATATTCATTTATTAACTGACCAAATGCAATGAAATTAACCAATTTAATTTGAAAGACTCCATGCTATATATA